CTCATGCCCAGGACCTCAGAATGTGACCAGATTTGGAGATGGGGTCTTTAAAGAGGGACGTTAAAAGAGGTCGTAAGTGTGGGCCCGAGGCCAATATGAGTGGTGAAGAGGTTAGGACGCAGACACACACGGAGGGAAGACCAGTGAAGACCTAGTGAGAACCACCATCTACAAGCTAAGGAGAGAGACCTCAGGAGAAACCAACCTTGCCAAAGCCTTGATCTTGGACTTCTAGCCTCCAGAATTTTGAGAAAATAAAACTACACTGGGTAAGTCATCTGGTCCATGGTGCTTCATTATGGCAGCCCTAGCAAACTAATATACATTTCTAAACGTATTTCTGAAATACAGGAGTAGAAAAGAAACAAGATGAAAGAAAACAGGCCAGATTAAAATACGCAACACGGGTTTTACATATTCTAAGTGCTGAATTTTTTAAACTAAAATTTTTTTCAAATAGTAATTTCAATGCTCAACAAAAGCCTAGAAGCCTAATTTCAAGCAAACAGAAAAAATTAAGTAGAATCTAATCTTGATGAGGGAGGCAAAATTCAGAATTTCAGTAAATACTGATATGTTCAAATTTCTCATACTCCATAAAAACCTCCATAATTCAGCAAACCAATATTTTGCAAATAACTAATGCATCTTACAAAATGATGTATGGTAAAAAAAAAATCAATTTAAAGGACAAGAAAGTCTACTGAATTTTTATGTAACAGAAAACAAACTGTTCATTGATATGGTTTCAGATTTCACTTGCAACTAACCTTTAAGAAATGATCACTTGATAAGTTTTGGCATAGTGTCAAAGAATACCCACAATTATCTGAAAAGGCTATTAAAACACTTCTCTCTTTTCTAATCACATCTTAGTGTGAATTTGGATCGTTTTTATACATGTCAAAAAAAAAGCAACATGTTATAAAAGGTAATGCAGAAACAAAAGTGAGAATTCAACTGTCTTCTTTTAAGCCAAATTTGAAAACATTGCAAAATTATATAAAATAATTCTATTCTTCCTACTGATGTTCTTGTATTGAAACATATTTTTATAAACTTGTTATTGATGTAAACAAGAAATAGAATCATTACTGTTATTTGCAAATGAATGTTTTCATGTGTAACTTGTGTTTCATTGATGATGCTATTACAGTTGTCCTGATTTTTCCCCTTTGTCCGCCTCCACCCAGCTCCCTCTACTCCCTCAGGCAGTTCCCCCACCACTGTTCATGTCTATGGGTCATTGTGTGTAAGTTCCTTGGCTACTTCTACTTCTTTGGCTACTCCATTTCCTATACTATACTTGATATCACCATTGCCATTCTGTAACTACCTGTTCGTATTTCTTAATCTCCTCACCTCTTCAGCCGTCCTCCCCTTCCTCTTCTTCCCCTCCTCTGATCTATCAACCATCTGGTAACGAAGTGCTTTTCTCCTGCTGCTTCTAACAGCCTCTCTTTATCTTGAACCTTTGGCATTTTAATTATGGTGTGTCTTGGAATGGGCCTCTTTGCATCCATCTTGTTTGAGACTGTGTTTTCTGGACTTGCATGTCTATTTCCATCACCAAATTAGGGAGGTTTTCTTTCATTATTTTTTCAGATAGATTCCCAATTTCCTGCTTTTTCTCTTCTCCTTCTGGCACCCCTTTGGGGTGAATGTTAAACCTTTTTAAGTTGTCCCAGAGGATGCTTATAGTATCCCTGTTTTTCTGGATTCTTTTTTTGCTGTTCTGATGGGTTGTTTTTGCTTCCTTATGTTCCAAATCATTGATTTGGTTCTCTGCTTCCTCCACTCTATTGTTGTTTCCCTGTAAACTGTTCTTTATTTCAATTAGTGTATCCTTCATTTCTGATTGGATCATTTTTGTGCTGTTGAAGTCTGTCCTCACTAAGTTCCTTGAGCATCCTTATAACCAGTGTTTTAAACTCTGTATCTGATAGATTGCTTATCTCCATTTTGTTTGGCTCTTTTTCTGGAGTTCTGGTCTGTTTTTTTCATTTTAGCCATGTTCTTTGTCTCCTTGCTCTGGCAGCCTCCCTATGTTTGTTGTATGTGTTAGGTAGGGCTGCTTTGACCCCTGTCTTGGTAGCATGACATAAGGTAGTAGGTGTCTTATACGGTCCAGTGGCACAGCCTCCCCTATCACCCAAGATGGGTACTTGAGGTGCACCCTTTGTGTGGGCTGAGTATAGCCTCCTCTTGTAGTTGAGTCTTGGCTGCTGTTGGCAGATCAATAGGAGGGATTTACCCAGGCCAGTCAGCTGTAAGGATGGACTGTGACCACTGACCACCTGCCTTTGCTATCCGTGGAGGATCCGCTGTGCAAGGGCAGGGTGGTGGTGGTCCCACATGGTCTATAAGCTGTCCACTAGGTGTGCTGGCCCTGGGGTTTCACGGGTAGTGCAGGGCAAGGTCAGCCTCTAGCTGTGTTTTGCCTGGGATACCCTGCCTGAACTATAAAGCAACCTTGAGATGGCTGCTACTTGTGCTGGGCTTGGAAACTCCCAGGCAGAGCCAAGCTGTTAATCTAACGTGGCTCTCACTAGGACTTGCTGAAGTCAGCTGTTGCTTGTTTGAGAGGATTTAGGGGCAAAGAGCAGCCATTCTTATGGAAAAGCAGTTCGGATGGGCCTGTAAGTTGGGTGGGGCAGAGCCTCTAGAGATCTCCAAGGTGGGTCACACGGTATTAGCCGGGTTGATGGAGTCTCAAATATGGCACCAGCCTGCCAGCTCTGTTGGGGGGAGGGCTTAGAAAAGGGACAATGGCCTCTGCTTGCCTTGATGCCAGACACTTCAGTTTCTCCCTGGATACCACTGGTGCCTTGAAGTTGTTACCGCGGTGCTGGAGCTCAGAGGGAGTGAGTCAGAGCAGGTGAGTCTGTGTGTGGGTTCAGAGGAACTACTTGGGGCCCCAGCGGCTGCTTCCCATCGACTCAGTCCTGGCTGGTTTTTGCAGCCAGAGCTGTGGGGACTTATCTTCCTGGCACTGGAATCCTGGGCTGGGGGTGCCTGGTGTGGGTCTGGGACTCCTCGCTCCCAAAATACCCTCCCGAGTTTTTATCCATGTAGCTGTGGGACCAGCCCATTACACATCTGTGACCATCCTACCAGTCTGGATGGATATGGTTTCTTTAAGTCCACAGTTGTCAGACTTCCATTCAGCTGGATTTCTAACATCCTGAGTGACTGTTGTTCTACATTTTAACTGTAATTATGATGTGGTTGTGCAAAGAGGCAAGCCATATCTGCCTATGCAGCCATCTTGACCAGCAGTTGCAAATAAGTTAGTTTTTAAATAATTTGTTTTGATTTCTAATACAGTAAATACAACTTACATAAACCAAAAACTCTTTGAATTCCTTATGATAGGCCAAATTGTGTCTGCTTCCCAATTCATTAGTTGAAGCCCTAAAATCCCATGTGACTATATTAGAAAGACAGGGCCTTTAAAGGGGTAAGTCAGGTTAAACGAGGTCGAAAGAGTAGGGTGGGCCCTAATTCTATAGGACAGAGGTCCTCACAAGAGGAGGAAAGGCACCAAAGACCTCTCTCTGGGTGCACACCAAGGTCATGTGAGGGAGGACACAGTAAGAAGGTGGCGATCTACAAGTCAGGAAGAAAGGTCTGAGCAGCAACCAGTCCTGTCTGCACTTTGACCCTGGACTTCTATCCTCCAGAACTGCGAAAAAATACATATCTCTCTTTTAAGCCACTTGATCTATGGTATTTTGTTATGGAAACCCAAGCAAACTAATAAAGCCCTCAATATTTTTAAAAGCTTAAAAACTTAAAAGTTTTGAAAACAAAAATTTTGAAAATCACTGAATTAGACAATAACCCTTTGCTTGTATGAATTAAGATGTTGGTAAACAAACTTCTTACTTCACATTTACTACATGGAAGAGTAATCATAATTTTCATTAGCTATTTGAAATAGAAAGAAAGGGAGAAAATTAAAGTCATTTTAAAAATAGCCATATTTTTACTTGATGTATATAATTATACACCATTTGAAAGCACATGAAAATGGTGAAACGAAATGGGAAAGAATGAACACAGACTACTAAGGCATTTGCTTTGCTTTTCCTGATCAGACCACCAAGCTTGATGTGTCTGGCTCGTGCACGCTAACTCTCGGAATATTTGTGAAGTCTATCAGTTTTCTGAATATAATGTCAGACATAAACAAAGGAAGAAGCATTCAGATTGGTTTCATATGAAAAAATATAACCAAACAAATTAGAAGAAATCAGACTGATAAATACACTAAGTGCAATATTTTAAACTGTAAAGCTTATAAAAATATAGGGAAATAACAAAATAACAGGAAGAAACTATTTCAATATAGGCAAAAATACAGTTCTGCTCTTCTAGTAATTGCAGCTGATACAGCAAAAATGGCAACAAAGCCGTGGAAGTCACTAAGAATGAAAATTTCAATAGCAAGGGGCCTTTAAGTAGTTATTAAATTTTAAAAGCTTAGATCAGTGGGAAAAAATGTATTTACCTCAACAAGAGTCTGAATGTCATGGATACAAATTTGTTGTTGAGTTGCTTTTTAATAGCATGTAAATTGTGCCCTCAAGTACAACAGTTTTATGTACAGTAGTAGTCTAATCTAAAATCAAGCAAAATGCTTAATTTCTAAGGCTCTAATGCTACATTCAAAATTACATTTTACTAAATTTCATTTCACGTAACTTCGTAGGTAAAGAAAATACTAATTCAACTTGAGCTAACTTCTCTTGGCTCAATGTTTGTTATAAAAATAATTATGCAGTCCTTCTGGAAAAGTATAACCAATCTATGGGCGTGCAAGTACAATTTTATCTTGTGAGAATTTCCCCATGTTCCAGTTACTTCATTCCTTATTACATGCTGCAAAAAGCAGTAATAATTTTTATAGCCAAATATCACTTCGTAAGATACCAGGTGGCTTTCAATATTTACTATAAGTCATGCATGAAATTTAAACATTACAAAAAATGACTTACCAGATGACACTCCTGAAATATGCACATTTTCAGGATGTTCTGCAAGAGCACCATTTCCTAAAATTAAACATAATGAATAAACTAATTTCCAAGATAAAATTTATTAAAAATTTTCAGATTCTCCCTTAAAAAATAACTACATAGAGTTACTTGAAATATTCAGACACTAAATTAAAGTCTCCTATAATATTCTTCAAAATAACATGATGAAGCCCAACATTTTAATAGCAGTAGGGAAAACATTTGGAAATAACAAAAAACTAGTGTAATAATATATACAGGTCCAATGTACAGATCCAACTAAATCCAGAAAAAATTTCCTATCAAGTTAGTAGTCAAAAGAGAACTCCCTACTATTACTAGAAAAGAGAGAATCATGTACTTTTAAAAGTGGCATTCCTATAAGAACATGCTCAGTCTGCCACCAATGTGTCTGTCTATTGCTAGGGTCACACATGTTGGTACATTAAAAAAAAATGCCTTCCATTGTCTCTTTCAACCTTTTATCAATGACCCCAATACCATTAGGGACAAAATTATATCCTATTTCGCTATCCCTTGATTTTCTGTATATCCAATCACACAGTTGGGGACATGGAACCATTCAAATAACTCACTGAACTGAATATCACCTAATATAAGTGTTTTTAAAAAGACTCCCATTTAAAGTACTGAGGATATTTACTCCTTCAAATTAATGTGACTAGTGTCCCTTCGGGTATTTTTTTAATTTAAATTTTATTATACATTAATTCCATCTACCCCTGTTCTTTCTTTTCTTGTGCAAATTGTTTATCTTTACTTCTAAAGTTTTGTCTCTCTGCAGCCCTTAGGGTTGGGTTAGCTTCCCAACAGCTCAGAAATGCAGCTGACAGAGAAAGAACTGCATTTGGAGTGGGGTAAGAGAAACCTGGAGGGCTAAAAGTTGAGCTGTCTTTGATGGTGTTTCTTGACCATCATATTTTCCCTGTAGAAAGTAGCAACTGTTTGATTCCCAGTCAGGGCACGTGCCTGGGTTGTGGACAAGGTCCCCAGTAGGGGGCACTGGAGAGGCAACCACACACTGATGTTTCTCTCCCTCCCTTCCCCTCTCTCTAAAATGAATGAATGAATGAATTAATTAATAAGTAAATAAAATCTTTTTTAAAAAAGAAAGTAGGAATTATTATAATTAACTTTATTTTTACAACCATCACACTTCTGTGATTGCTTGATTAATGTACAGTATAGAACCTAAGAAAGCAGAACCTGTGTTCATCTGGTTCAACACTGTGCTCAGTTCCTGGAACACAGCAGGTGCTCAAAGAGTGGATGGATGAATAAATGAGGGAAGCCATGATGAGTCAATGAAATCATGCCAATTAAGTACCTGATAACAGTGCCTGGCACATAGTCAACAATATGGGTGAAATACTAAAGAATAAAATAAAAGTGATAAAACCTTTTTAGTTCGACTACAGTTATAGCTTTCAAAATGAAAAGAAATGATTTTCCTCTGTATTAAACGAAGAGTAGAAACTGTGACCTAGGTGTGTAAGCCATATTTAGTACGTCAATAATTTGACAGTAGTTGTTTAAGTGCTGCCCATTAGTACCATGTAAGCCATGATTTATCTTCTCCAGCAGTGTTAATGCTACAGAAAGAATTCAAATGACTAGAAAGCCCATACCTATTTCTTTAACATGCACAATTTATAAGGATTGGGAGCATAAACAAAATAAGAAACCGATTCAATAAAGTGACACAATTTGTCGAAAGTCAGTATAAATTGCCTAAATCTTTGCTACTCAAAAGGAGACCAGTAGTACTGGCGAATCAGGAGCTTCCTGGAAATGCAGAGTCTAAGAACCCACCCCAGATTACTGAATCAGAAGGTCTCCCTTCGCTCCCAGAGAAAGGTACCCACGTTAATGTTTCAGAAGTGTTGGTCAAACCTCCTACTTCTGTATCAGAAACAACTACAACTGCAGCTCTGTTTTGTGTCCCTAAGGTTTCCAATATTCTTAAGGTAGCAAATTAAATTATTCTCAGGAGTTTTAAAATTAGATGTATTTTATACATTTCCCCTCCCAACTCAGTAAACAGAATACACAGGCAGAAGGAAACAGCTGCATGAATAGTATTTCGGACGGTGGATTCTGGCCTAGATCGTTATGGTTCTAATAGCAGCTCCACCACTTACTTACATGTACTATGGGGCAGTTACCAAATGTCTCTGTCTTCATTTCACCTTTAAAATGGAGAAGATAATACCTATTTTACGGGGCTTGGTGGAATTCTTTGTAATAAAAAAATAGACTTAATCTAAATTGTCATCAGCATGCAAATGAATAAGCTAATATAGCCTTATAAAATATTCAATACATTAAAATAACTCTGTACGTACTAACCTGGAAAAATATGCATGTCAAGTTTATATGTTTCAGAATGAATTAGAATATAACCTAATTTTAACTTTAAAATGACGTATGTAGGTAATACACACATTTACATAAGCATATATTTATATATGAGAGTCTCAAGAAATATACAAATTGTGGAAGAAAGCCTTTGAAACTGGGATCTCTTGCATACTTCAGCATTAACAGAATATGTGACAATAGGCAGAGATCTCTGTATTTCTATTTATTATAAAAAATAAGAATAGGTGAAGAGAATATAGTTCCTTTCCCACCATTCTAAATAAATGGGAAGTCTGATAAATATTGTACTAGATATGATAAAATACCTTAATTTCATAAAAGTATTATTATTTTTAAAACTGATAAATAATCCTTTAAAACATAAAACATGATATTGCCCATTTCCTATACATCTGCTTTAACTTAGAAACAATACTATTTAGAAGTTTAAAATAAATCAATAATGATTTTTGTAAACATCAAATAACCATCCCCCTTTTTGTTTACATTAAATAGTTCTTATTCTGAGTATCACCTGAAGTGGCTACTTCCAATTTAGGTATACTGCCATTCTAAGAAAATGCCACTTATGTAACAATTATTTCCATGTTATAAGCAGACAGACCCCTCATCTTGCTTGATACAAAGCTACAGACATTCTCCCTAGAGCTCCTTCTCCAACTCCCGATCTCCCCCAGAAGAAAACCTCACACATATAAAGATGTACACACAATACCACCTCCCTACTGTAAGTACAGGGCTGCCATGGTAGATATTCTCGCAGATGTCATCCTGCAGAGGTTAACTATATATACTGGAAAAATGTATAGTCTCACAAGTCATTATTCCTATAATTATACATTATTAGCTGACTAGTTAATGGACCAATTCATTAACTAGAACTCCTAAAAGACAATTTTCAAGTAAGAAAAAGTTTTATTATAACCTAAGTCAGGAAATAATTTTTATGACAATTTTTTTAGTCTCATTAACCGAGTTAACAAAGGTGATCAATTTGTCCACATTCTATTGCCAAGCTGAAACATGGTCTGTAGTTTTCAACTGCAATACAAGAGACAGAATCTTCCAAAGGAGACACTGATTTAGGAAAGGGGTCATAGGGCATCGAGTTTGAGCTCTGGAACCAGGCTGCCTGGAATTAAATCCCAGCTCTATCGTTTTATTTAGTCATGAACCTTAATTAAACTGCATCTCCTAACATTTGGTTTATTCACTTGAATCATCAGAATGTCATCAATAAGAAAATACGTAAATTTATGGTCTCTGCATCTCCGCTGCTTTGTATCTTTCTGATAGATTTATTTCTGCTTTTGTGAGAACGTAATAGATATGTGCCAGCCAAACCCTAAGAGCCTTACAAGTTTTCCTGTAGCTCATCTTTAAAACAGCTCCTCTTACAGACAAGAAAACTGAAGCTTCTAGCAACTCAGTAATCTTTTTCAGAGAGCTAGTATTGGATGATTTGAAAATTCAAATCCACAAATCATTAAGAAGTTTGCGTTCCTTACTTTTAAAAAAGGATTCAGGATCTATACCAATTTCCATGGCATTTAGAAGTCTGTGTTTCTTACCTTTAAAAAAAAATTTGGGCATGGAATATTTCATGTTCATTAAAAAATAGTACTTAACTTTCAGAGTTCAAACCTACCAGTCATAGCTATTCCTATCTGTATGGGGGAACATCATTGGTTTAAAAGTTAATGAGTGGCGGTTGCAAGTAACATATGATCAGCATCCTACAATCTCATTTCCACTCTGCAGTGAGAACAGTAATCAAACATAAATATGAGGTCTGTCCAGAAAAAAGTCCAGCTACTTTTAATATAAAAAGATGCCAACATCAATGTAACCTGGCAATCAAGGAAAGTGGACTGGAATGCACATGCATAAACAATGACCAATTCACTGCACTAGTCAGTGGGGGCGGTAGAGGCTGTTGAGTGAGCGTGTGGACTGTGTGACCGCTGCATTAAAAATGACTGAGTGAGGAGAGCAACAAATCTGTATCAAATTTTGCTTTAAGCTTAAACACTGCTCTGCAGAAACTATTCAGATGATTCAGAAGGCATTCGGGGACAATGCAATGACTGCAGTGCAAATAAAATTGTGGAACAAATACTTCAAAGATGGTCGAGACTCAGTTGAAAGTGATCCACATTCTAGAAGGCCTGCAAAAAGCAGAACACCTGAGAATGTTGAACGTATACGGGCAGCAATCAACAGAGATCGGCGTGAGACCTAGAAGCTGATATGGGGATTCCAAAAACTACTGTGTCTGAGATTTTGACACAGGACCTGGGCATAAAATGTGTTGTGGCAAATTTTGCTCTGTGGCTTCTGCTGCCAGAGCAAAAGGAATATCAGGCTGCAGTTGCTAATGACTTGATTCAGGCTGCTACCAATGAACCGGATTTCAAGAAGGTCGTAACAGGACATGAATCATGGGTCTAGGTCTGTGATCCAGAAACCAAGGTTCAGTCATCCCAATGGAAGTCGCCTGGTTCTTCGCACCCAAAGAAGGCACGGCAAAGTTGCAACAATATCAAAACCATGTTAACTTTTTTTTTTAAATTTTATTTATCTTTAGAGGGGAAGGGAAGGAGAGAGGGAGAGAAACATCAATGTATGGTTGC